CAAGATGTGAACGGCTATACCGGGCATACCTGATTTAGCCACATTGAAGGGGAAAGGCTGGCCATTGCTAACCTGGGGCCGAAATATTCAGATTCGAGTCGTTCGACGGCTTTCGGTCAGTTTTTCCCTGGCCAGATCCCAGGGAAACAGTGGTCATAGGTCACAAATGCCGGGCCAGTTTTTCCCTGAACGCCCGGTCATTACACCTGTATTTGGTGCAAGTTTCAGTCCCGATGCGGCGAAAATGACTGGGCGTTCTATTCGGGTGACGACGGTAGGCTCCAGGGAAAAACTGGGCAGATTTCGAGGCAACTATTCCCAGTGCAATGAGAGGAAGCCAGAGCTGAAGCCAGAGCTGAAGCCATCGCTCGTCTGACCAAATGCGCCAGATTTAGCCAGTTTTTCCCTGGCCAGATTTCAGGGAAGCAGTGGTCAGAGGGCAGAAATGCCGCACCAGTTTTTCCCTGACCAGCTACCAGGGACACAGAGTTTTAAGGTAAAACTTGGCCAATTTTTCGCTAACCAGGTTGTAGGCAGAAATTGGCCAGAATTTGGCCAGTTTTTGCCTGGGCAGATTTCAGGGAAACACTGGTCATAGGTCACAAATTCCGCGCCAGTTTTTCCCTGAGCAGTTACCAGGGGGTCAAGAATTTTAAAGGCAGACATGGCCAATTTTTTGCTAACCAGGTTGTAGGGACAAATTGGCCAGAAATTGGCTAGTTTTTAACTGGGCAGATTTCAGGGAACCAGTGGGGGAAAAGGTCACAAATTCCGCGCCAGGTTTTCCCTGACCAGCTACCAGGGATACAGAGTGCAAGCCCAGATTTGGCCAGTTTTTTGCAGGGAGAAATTGGCCAGGATTGGGCCAGTTTTTAAGTGGGCAGTTTTTCACTGGGCAGATTTCAGGGCCAAAAATTTGGCCAGCATTTTCCCTGACCAGCTTCCAGGGGGACAGATTTCAGACCAGACCAGATATGGGCAATTTTTTGCTAATTGGGTTTCAGCCTTTCAGGGATAAAGTGGGCAGATTTCAAGCCAATTATTCAACAGTGCAGTCAGTGGACAGCCAGGGCTTTTTTTTTTTTTTTTTTTTAGACCTCCAGTCTATTCGTGGGGAGCAGCACGTGCTGGGAACCGGGCCCAGCGTCCCATATGAACATAGGGGAGCAGCACGTGCTGGAAACTGGGCCCAGCGTCCCATATGAACATACATCAGTTTGTAACAGGGCTGAAGTCCCATGTAGCTGATCTCACTGCATTGTCCAAGCTTTCGCCAGTTTTTCCCTACCCAGATTTCACGAAAGCACTGGTCATAGGTCGCAGATTTCACGCCAGATTTCGGGCCAGTTTTTGGCCTCCTGGCCAAACCTAATTTGTCCAGTACCAGTCCCACTGGGGTTCTCAATGAGAGCAAAGCCAGAGCTGTGGTCCCACTGCAATCTGACAAAGCCAGAGCTGTGGTCCCACTGCAATCTGACAAAGCCAGAGCTGTGGTCCCACTGCAATCTGACAAAGCCAGA